CAACCATAACATTTTTAATAACTAATAAGGATCATAAAAATTCCTCATCTAATAAAATGGTAGACACCTAGGTACTCACTTTCTTAGAAGTCAATAATACTTTATCTAAAAACCGTAGCCATTCAAAGATGAAAACTGGACGTTTAGTTTCAGGTAATTGTCTTAACGCTTCTTCGTTCAACAGCAAGCTGTGGCTTAGTTCCATCATAACAATATAGATATGAAAAAATGTAAGCTATCTAACAAGGCTCCTAGGCGAAAAAAATAATAGCACCGTCGACCATCATAGGACTATTTTATAAAATATTATTATAAATGTTTATATTAAAAATCCTCAGACGTAACACACTAGCCACTCAAGCACTAACCACTAGCGAGTAAGGACTAGCCGTCTGAGTAGAATAGTAGATAAATATTTATCGAGATATTTATTTATTTACATAAAGTAGTAGCAACATACAAGGATAGACCATAGAAAACAAATGTATGGGATAGACAGTAGCTACTAACTACCACGATCCACGGAATAACTGATAGCGCTGTGAACTGTGAAGTGTGAAGATAGCAAGCTCACAGTGAGTCACGTAAACAGTAACAGTATATATGTATATTCATGGTCACTAAAATTTGCCATTTATTCTGATAAAGAGGGTAACCGAATACCATAAACCCAACAAGAGTCTTTTATAGGTCTATGCTGAATACCGCATATTCTATTGCCTATACATAGGTATTAATAAGTTTTTACACACGAAATATAAATTAGTTTTACAAACTTTTCTGTTTTACCGAACACTTGTTTTTTGGTTTCAACGCAGGGGCACAACCAGGATTAATTTAAGTGGAGGTACAAAACAATTATATTAAATTACTATTTTTCTCATAGGCGTTAGCCGTTACCTAATATGTTTATAAGTAGAGAGGTAGAGAGCCTTGATAATAATTAATATATTATATTATATTAACTATTATTAAGGTTCTCTATGTTTAGGTATGTAACTAATTTCAAATTTGTCTATGGTTTTTCTGTACCGTTCGTCACTGTATATCTTTTTTCTATGCAGTACACTATACAACTATAGTTGTCGAGTATGTCATTGTAATAGATGTGTTATACCTATTTGAATTCCATAATAAACGATAAATCATTGTATTCGATAACGATACTGAGAGGATCGCATAGTTAATTGTTAAATGATAAAATTGAATAATTAAAAAACATTAATAAAAATCGAAAATATCTCATGGCTATAAATAGTGCAACTTTTCGGTAAACATTTTTTTGTCGTTAAAAGCAAATTAATATACAATTTGATGTAACTTAAAAATATTATTCGTGGGTAAACTTGATAATATATGAATTATAATTTTCATGAGCCCCCACACGAGTTGATCAGCATGAGATGTTCATTGAAGATTGAAGTCCGTTATTCTGTTGAAATAAATAAAAATACACTCTTATTATGAAAAAAAAAACAATATTTTGTTTGGTAACAGAATTTTTATTCAGATATAGCAGAAAACATACAAGTCACATAATTATTATGACACAATGTGTGGTCAATGATTTAGAAAAATAAATATTGTTAACATATTATAACAAAATAATTATTATGACACAATGTGGTCAATAATTTAGAAGAATAAATATTGTAAACATATAACATAAAAAATATGGCCTATTTAAATATAGGTAGAAAAAAAATCAAAGAAAAAAAATTGTAATGTATTACCACAAAAAATTGCCCATTAAAGTCAATAGTAAAAAGTTAGTTATAGAAAAGAAAAACAAAATAAATAAAACACCAGACAAGACATAATAAGGGGACCACATGATGGCTAGCCATCGGTGGTCGACCTCGGTGTGTACTTACGCAAGTGCTTCTGCAGGTCACCTCCATACGTACCCCCCCCCCCCCAAAAAGGCGCAATTCGGGTTAAATGTATGGGGGTGCTAAATTCATGCGTGAACTAAAGTGGCCCTTAAGGGGCTTTGCCCCCCACGAGCCACTTCATTCATACGCCATCATTAAACTAACTTTTTAAAGCCCTTGCAAACTATATCAATTTTTTATTACAACGAACTTATCGACTAACAAAAATGAAGGCACCTACTTAAAAAATTTAAAAATGTTTGATTTGGTAAAAAAGTTTAGCTATATTCAACATCTTAACAGTTTATTCCCATTTCCCATCATGAATTTTCTAAAATTGAAAAGTGCTCCGATCAATGTAAAACAATCTATTGTTTATGCGTTCAAACATTACATTACATTTTTTAATCAAATCATTGGAATAGTAAGTACTTACACTTTTGTTAGACGTACCTATAGCTACTTCAAATCCATACATTTATTTTAAATGTTTTGATCTAATGACAACACGAAATGTACATGTGATTGTGTAATATGTATGATACCTACTTGTGATTGGTAGAAAGTATGTAGTATATAATATTATTTAATATACACACAATAATGATCATTTAGGTACTACGTACAAAGACAAATAATTGCCTTGGCCTATACACAATTCCTTAAAAATAAAATGTTTGCAGGGCCTTAATATAAACAATTACTAAAAATATAATATAATATGTGTTATTGTTAATATTATTATGAAAATGAAAATGATGTCTTAATAATAAATTTATCATAATGATATATTATAATTAATAAAACTTTGATGATGCAATTAAAAATTTAGGGGGGGTACAAATAAACCCTCCAAATTGCGCCTATGGATTTCCCACGGACGGACGAGTGCAGTTATTTGTTTTTATTGTCTATTTATAACCATTAATGATCTATGCTTGAATTGATAAAAAAATAGAAGGGTGATGTGGAAATATAAAAAAAATGTGAGTTTGAGGTACTCCTTGGTGAGATTTTTTTTTGGCAAATTTTTAAAAGTAGGATCCGTTTAGTATTTTTTTGTATATAACTTTCAAATTACACATTCTATAAGTACTGTATTTTTCTTAGGTACCTATTGTTTTTATAGTACTCTATTGATGCCAGGATTAACATTTATCAGGTGGATTCCCCTGCAATGAAAATGTTTTGTTTTCGTGCATACCTTGTATAATATTATAATCGTTGTGTTACTCAAAAAGTAAAAATTGTTATGATCAAATCCAAAATACAAGTATAGGGAACCTAAAATTTTATCTCTTAATGTTATCTTATATGTAGGGCCCGGATTTTTATGCAAATGCATATTCTTCTACATTTGACGTATAATAATCCTGATTAAATATCTTGACATATCGTAAAACGTAGATTCTACTGTTAATTTTTTATTTTGCATATTTTTGCATATTTGCATCAAAATGCATAATAATTGCATATTTCGGGGTAATTACATAAAATGTGAATATTTAATAAATACTTGATAAAATATTTTAAATTTTACTCAAAGTTTGATATACATGCCGATTTTGCCCGATCGCCGACGTGGAAAGAAGTTTTTCCAAGTACAAAAGTATGTTTCGAGATAATCGTAGGAGTTTTCAATTCGAAAACTTGAAATCCATATTTATTACTTCATGCTGGTACTCATCCAATAATAATAATTTAATATAAATAGTAATACTTTAATTAATTTATAACACTTTTATACTTACACAATGTCATTAAAAATTTTATTTTGCATTTTTTTATTAATAAACCATTTTTATACATAATATATTGTTAATTTAAAAAAAAAAATCATTTTGCATATTTTTTGCATATTTATGATATGAATCTGCATATTTTATAGATTTTTATTGCATATAAATCCGGGCCCTACTTATATGTATATTTAAAAAAATATACTTAATTTTGCGATCACGTTTGTGGTCTTGTAGTTTTTTTTTTACAGAAAATAAATATATCATAGATGATGCTTTGTATATTTTGTAAAATTATATTTAATTAATTATTCTTTATGGAACTATATTTATACGACTAATACAGATTATTAAAATGCTTTAAAATTGTCATGTTGATTATAGTATGTTTTTTTTTAGATGGATAATAAGTCCAAGGGTCGTAAGTTAATGTCCTAAAAAATAATTATATTAGTATGCGCTTATGCATTTAAAACTGACAAAATATGCATTAAAAAGTTCAGAAATTCTTAAACTGAACAAACGTTCTCGCACACACGTCGCAATAATGAATGAAATAGTCGAGAATAAACCACTGTAAAAGTATAAAGAAGATTAGACTTTTTCATATAACATTGTTTTCCACCACTTGAACGCGGGCTACGAGCTGTATACGTTTTATTTTTAATCATTTTACGTTGAGAAAATGTCTATCTATTTTATTATACAGTGCAAACATATAAATTATTGCATTTTCATCAAATTTTGGTAAAAATACCCTAAATATGTACAATAAAATAGAAAAACACATAATTATGCCAAACAGTCGAAATATCTAAACATGCAAGATTTTCAAGAAGAAAAATTCGATACGTATCGATACGAAATAGTTACGTACCACCTCGTATCGAAGTCCGAGTCCGATACGGGTCGGTACGTATCGCTTATAATATACTGCACTTGTAACATCTTGAACGCTCAAAATTGACTCGATACATACCGATACACTCCAAATTCTTTCTTGAAAATCTTGATGCTAAATAAAATTTCAAATACTCATCCATGGTACCTTGAAATGGATTTCTATGTCACCTAGCATTAAATTCAACTTAGCAAGATTGATATGCAAATGCATGAACTCAAGAGCCCTTGTTCCTAATAATTATTTTTTAAACTATAGGTAAGTACATCTTACATGATATGCATAATAGATTATTATGCCTCTCCTCCGAAATTTAGTTCTAAGTACATCGCCGTTATTCATCCATCTTGTATTCTGAATTATATTTAAAAAATAAATATGTTAATTAAAACCCCTTATATATCTTGCATAGGCAATAACATATGCAGTATTTGATATAACTTTGGTATTCTGTGATACCTGCTTCATCAGAATTATTGATAAGTGATAATCAGTAAATGTGCGGGAACTACTTGTTATTATGGTTCTGTGATTATATTAAAATATATTATAGTCTGTGATTCTGGTTTTATATTTATAATATCCACAGATTATAAAAATACAAATATCACAGATAATAATTATATGTAATTGCCAAGTAATACAACTAATACAATTCTTTCTCAGTTTGTCATGAAATAGTGAACTATTAAAGTCGTAGACAATATAAACCATTGAACCCAGCTATACTAATCAATCACTAATTCCTGCTATTTGCATTTAAAAATGTGTTCATTTTAAACTTGAGTATTAATCATAAATTGTCAGAGACACTGTGTGTACCTATCAGAGATCTAGAACCAGAAAACACTAGTGCCTTGTCAAATTGTCCTCATCATATCTATTAAATATACAAATATGTGTAATCGATCTACAACTATAGATCAAATGTAAGTTTTTTATTTTTATTAATACCAAATAAATTAGTGAATACTAACTACCTGACTATAGTGTGTATACCTACTTGTGAAAACATTTTTTAAATCCCTTTGGTCACTATTTAGTTCAACATTACTTGAACTAAAATGTTTTAACTAAATTTATTTGTTAATCATTCATAATTACATATAATAAATAATAATTTAGTTTTCTGATGTTTTTCTTTTTATAAAGTGTTAAAGATCGGTTATATATACGACTAATTGAAACCAAATGGGTCGAGAAAGTAGAAAAATTAATTTACGCTGCACTTCAAAAACGAAATAAAGAAGGTCAAGATTTGACTACTGTTAAATTTGAAGAATTGTACCAAGAAGTTAGCGCAAAAGCTCGTGGTATGTGTTTAATTATGAATTATTGTAGCTTTGTCTTCACCTCCTATACATCCCCTATTCATTGCCTATTTGTAGTATAAAAAATAATAAATGACAAAATAATAATTTTTTCTTTTGTTTAGGTAGTTTTAATTTTATTATTACTAATGAAATCACTACTGTTTGAAGTCATATTTAACACATTTAAAGTCAGATATATATTATCATTTACTAAGTTCTTAAGAAGGTATAAATAAATACATAATATACTTTTAACTTTGACTGAATATGGACTGCAATTACAATGAAATAGGTCAATATAAAACTTGACAACAAAATATAAATACACTTTACAGAACATTAAACAAGTGAAAATTACAAAATCTCTTATATCTTATGAATTAATTTGTATTATGTGGTAATACTGTTGACATAGCGTAGAATAATGAATAATAATATATCACCCGCAGAATTCTACTGTGAAATATGATGAATACTTGATTACTATTTATTCATTTTGAATCAATATTATGAGTTTAAAGATTAATATACCTAGAGGTTTACGAGTAATTTTGTGGAATTAAGGCCACTCAGCCCCCCGGCCGCAGTTGGGCTTGTGGTTACATTTAAAATTAAATTAGATAAATTCTTTAAAGATGTTGTCAATATTACACAAGACAATTATATTAAATGTTGTACATTAATAAAAATAATTTTTGTATAAGACTTATCAATGAAAATTTAAAAAAAACTTAATTTGACTTATTCACCAACTAAATATTAGTTTGCTTACATTGTATTATTTATAAACAATTATTATAAATTATGTTTAAACCATACATTTTTCAATACATTTTGTTTTTAGATGCGTTACCAGTAGAAATGGAAACCGAGTTACATGAAAAAATGGAAGACTTTCTATCATCAGATATTGATGGAAGTGATAATCCTTATACTATGAATTTATCGGCATCTAATTCTTCTTGTGCAGTAAATGTTGATACTCCTTTTGATGGTTCCTCTCATATGTTAGCTGATAGTTAGTTTTTAATAGTACCTACTTTAGATGTTACTACTAATGGAGAAACAAAAAATAATTAATATTCATATTACTGATTAAAATGATTGAATGTGCATTGTAGAGTATATGACATAAAAATAAGTTATTTTAAAATATTCAGTTTCTAATTAATATTTTGTATCATAATCCTAAAATTTTGAAAAATTATTAAATCTTATTTCAGGTGCATTTAAATGTAATTTTAATATTTGAATTAAACTTTATTTTATATTATTATGTTAACAAAGTATTAACATTAATATTACAACTTATAAGTACTTATCTGCAACACCTGAACTAGATTTTCTAATATTGAAATATATTCATTTCATTGAACCAAATACTTTTTACATTGATAAACTAAATAATAAGGTAACTATCAGTGGTGTAGTGTGGGTATATGTCTTGAAAATGTTAAGTTAATGAATTAGTGGGGGCTTTGTTCCCCACACCCATTTTTGTTACGTGCAATTAACTGATTTTGTTGTAATATTAATTAACAATGCATTTTGTGATTATGTACAGAAAAGTAAAAAACATTTTCAATTGTATTATAATTTGACTAAAAGACCAACCACCAAATAGTGTACCTAAAATATTGAAACATAATTTAAGTTTCACAAAAACTAATTTGTATTCTTATCCATGAAAATTGTCTATCTGTAATAGTGTTAAAAATAATTAAAATATTATTAAAATATTATTAGCTGTATAACATCATATTTTGCTGAAATAACCCTTCCCTGGCTGTGTAGAACTTATTGGAGGCATTTGACGCAGATACAAATGAACTAGAGTTCACGGGAGTCATCCCCAGCTTTGCCAATGAGGAACTAGCCAAGGCCACCAGGAGGTTCTTGTCAGGCAAGCCTGTTGGGCCATCAGGGATCCACAACGAAGTACTCAAGCAATTCGCGTCACGTCGACACCTAGAAGCTCTTTGGGTCTTCAATGACTGTCTTAGTCCGGTGACATTCCCATCACTCTGGTAGAGGGCCAGGCTCGTGCTGATCCGAAAGAAGGGCCCGGACAAACCACTAGATGCACCATCCAGCTATAGGCCCATTTGTATTTTGGACACCCCCGGGAAGCTCCTCCAAAGGCTAGAAGCTCATCTCGACACTCACGGGGGGTGGAGGAGAGCTGGGAACCAATATGGATTTCGGAGAGGCATTAGCACTGAGACCGCAGTGGAAAAAGTGCTGAGCATAGCGACTCAAGCGGCTTCCTGTACTGGCAGGAAGGACCTGTACATTCTAGTTACGTCGGAATACTTGGTCGAGATGCTGCATTCATGGCTTACAGACAAGGTGTTGCTAACGGAGGAAGAACTTGCACCAAGGCAAATCACGTGCGGCGTCCCGCAGGGATCCGTCCTCGAGCTGACATTGTGGAACGTGGCGTATGACTCACTCCCGAGATTGGACGTCCCTAGCGGAGTTCATCTCGTCGGCTTTGCGGACGACCTAGCCGTGGTCTGTGTGGCAAGAACGGAACAGTTACTATAGAGGACGCAGTCAATCCAGTCCTCGATGCGATGACACCTGGATGTCGAGCACGAGACTGGAGCTAGCGCATCATAAAAGCGAAGCCGTCATGTTGTCCAGGAAGTGGGCATACACCCCGCCTCATCTGTTGGTCAGAGGCCACCAGATCACGATTTAAAAAAAACTGAGGTACCTCGGCGTGATACTGGACCAGCGGCTCACCTTCGCCGGCTATATTGACATGGTAGCGAAAAAGGCCTCCCGATTGGCTGCCGCTCTGGCCGGGCTCATGCCGAACATTAACAGGCTGGGTCAATGGAAAAGGCGGCTCCTCGGCTCAGTAGTGGAGAGCCAGCTGCTGTATGCCACACCAGTATGGATCTGATCGGCCAGAACCAGGGAAAATCACATTCGTCCACAGAGGTTAGTTGCCCTTAGCCCTTAGGGTGATACGGACATATCGAACGGTCTCAGACGAGGCCGCTCTGCTGCTGGCCTTCTTGCCCCCAACTGATCTCCTCGGCCTAGAGAGACTGAAAATCAAAGCCCGACTGGGCGTCCCTAACATTCCTGGTGTACCACTTCCCTCAAAAAATGGCGTGAAAACCAAGGAGCTGAAGTCACCATCACTATGTGGCAAACGAGATAGTCCACCTCAACTAAAGCGGCGTGGACAAAACTGGCAATACCAGACGTAGGCAGGTGGCTCGGGAGTACCGTACCAATGTTACCTCTGACATACCACATGGCACAGGTATTGACGGGTCACAGCTGCTTCCAGCACTACCTTCACCGAATGGGCAGGGCTGCTACCAAGTACCAATGCGACGGAGAGTATGACACTATCAAACACACTTTGTACGAGTGCTCGTACTGGTCTAGACACAGGAGTGACTTAGAGGTGCGCCTCAGTCGCCACCCGAGCCTTGCGGATCTACCTGACATCGTCTGCGGACCGTTCTTCGAGAGTCTCCCCGCAAACCCAGAGCACAAGGAAGCCATTCTACGAAATGCCGAGGAGACCTTTAAAAGCATTCTATAAGATGGTCGAAGATGTTATTACGATGAAGGAAGAGGAGGAGAGGGCGAGACAAGCGGCAGGGGGTAGGTAAAAGAAACCCCCGAAGAAGAGGAAGAACGTGGAAGGCAAATCCATGCTGCACAGCAACCGTCGGAGGTGTCACCGTCCACCGACCCAAGTTCTTCCTACACTCCTTGACACCATTGGCGGGGGGGGGGCGATTACGACATCGCAGGACCACAGTACGTGACTCTAGGGAGGCGGACTGACGTCGGCCCACGACATCATCCGTAGGAACTAGCAACGCCCTAAGCGAATTCTTTTCTTTCTTGTTTCTGTTTATTTTACTTGAATGTAAGCACCCCGAGCTCCACTTCCAGGTGGACATATACGTAGCCATAGGGAAAGTCCATTTGGTAGCGGAGAGGGGCGCAACATAGTGTGTCATTGGTATTTTATTTATTTGTATATGTACACAATAAACGATGATGACCGGGGGAGAAGCAATGCCAACAGCAGTTCCTCCCTCGGTTCTCGATAACAAGGAAAAAAAAAGAAAGATACACAATACACTTAAACATATCTTCACCTCATCAATCTGAACTGTTTAAATTTAAAATACTATTAGAAGTTACTTGCTTATAGATGTAAATTACTTGCCCTCTCTACACCTTGTACATAGACAATTACAAAACTACATATTTTATTTTTGTTATAGTTGAAATTTTGCCATGATTTTCAGAAATTTGTATTATTAATTATTATCTAATGTAGGTACCAACCTCATGTGTAAAAAGCTGTATTCAAGTCACTGTACCTACCTCGGAAATCCGCTCTTAAGGAGTATAAATACAGATCGTTTCTAAGGAACTCAATATAGGGATATTTCTATGTGTTTTCTTGTGGGTCATGTAAATGTGTTCGTAGTTTAAGTGATCATTAATGTGAGTGCACGTAGGTACTTGTCAATAAAGCAGCACTTTACACACCAATTACGTATTTTCCATAATATGGCAATATGAGCGACATTATATAGTACATTACCACATTGTACCAATTGGAAGTATGAATAGTTTATCTATGTCTGTATACTGTATATGAGTCGACTTTCGATATTACATTTTAAATTTCCCATACTTTTATTTATTTACTTGTGATATTATACTTTTTGAATTCCAATTATTGAGGTAATAAGTAATTAAAATATCAAAAATTTACTTTTACACACTCACAGATTAACTTCTCTTCTGCGATGTTGAATGTTGATAATGGGTATCTCAAGCCGCTCAATAAACCTTATTATTGGAAATACAAAAGGTAATTTCCATAGAATTTCTCCATGATATTCATACCCCTTCATGTACCTACGTAGAATAAAATAAAATAATATTCATAATCTTAAAGAAAAAAATCAGCCCTCTCCTTCAAATTTCTACATACACGCCTATCATCAATATATTATTTAGAATGCTTTAAATAAAATCTATATTATAATCCTGTAAACAATTTAACATTAATTAAATGTTAGGAAGTATATAAATTGTAGTAAATTGTTTAATTTTACTTATCAGTTATCACAGAACAATACTAACAACGCAGACAAGAAAATTATTTTTATAACATCCATATGTTCTGTAAAATGGTATTAAAATAATGATAACAGTAGGTAGGTACTAATAAGTAATAACTTTAAAAAAAATTCATACTTTTGATTGACGAATACGGATTCCAAGTAGCATAACCGTTAACCTTAATGTAGTCCACCATTTCCATAGAATGTTCTGAAAAATTATTTAAAAATAAATATATTATTGTAATATTGTACCTATAATCATTAAAAAAAATGCATACTTTTGATAGTCAAAATCGGTGTCCAATTCGACATTTTCTCTATCTGGTTAGAATTTTTCTGAAAAAAATATTTAAAAATAATTATTTTAAATTTTCATACAGATATGTAATAAATATTTAAAAAATGTAGAATTTAAAGTGGAATACTCCGGCCAAGACGATAAAATGCCCAGATACGTGTATACTTTATCGACCCATGTAACAATTTTAACGTTTTCCATAAATACTTTTGGTGCAGTCGTGGACTCTATGATTACTGGTTCTATTTCGGTGAAAGTATTTCTTGTTTTTTTAATAGCTGCGTTGGAGTCTTGCAAAGACTTATCGGATCTCAATGGCAAAACATCACGTATTCGCGTGCATTCAATTTTAATTTATCATCAGGTTTTTCAAGTACCTAGTGTATTCATAATTTCCATTATTTTATCCGTAGCGTCGAACATAAAGCGGACATTGCGGTTTTTTTGCATGCATTTCATTATCAACACCAGTCACCAATTGAACGTTTTGTTATTACTTCCTCTGCAGGTTTCAAAACTTTAAAATCTCCCTTAAGACTTCTTGAATATTATTTGATAGTGAATGTTCAATGTATACATTTTCAGAGATTATTATAGACATTAGAAGTCCGGTACTGACAGTCGATGGGAGCCACTACTTACATTGTGTTACTTTTAACAGGCAATGTTTTATTGTCATGATTTTACGAAAAACTGTTTTTAACTTTTTAAGGATTAGGTATTAAGAAGATAGATATCCTTAGACTCTGTGTATTTTAAGATTGAATAACTCAGAAACTGCTCGTTAAAATGTTTTTTAGATTAAAACAAATATCTGCTTAATAATTTACAGTAAACAGAGTTGCTTCTCATTCGAAAAAAAAGAAATTTGGATACTTTTCGCCAACAAAAAATATCAATATATTATATATAGGCATATAGCTAATCTTATATTTTTAATAATTGGATAAAATTTAGTATTGTAATAAAGTAGGTGGGGAAACTGGAAAGGCACGGACACGTCCTGTAGGCTGTAGACGATCGTGTGTATGGGTTGTTATCACAGATACCAATATAGAATATAATATATATTTATAGAATATTCTATATATCTGTGGTTGTATGCCCCTTTATATTCCATACCGGTTTTTTCATCCCTTATCAGTTATCAGCTTATCACAATAACAATGTAAATTTCTAATTTCCGTGGTCAACACGATTTAAGATAGTATTATCTAAAATCGTGGTGGTCAATAAATAATAATTCGATGTCTCGTGATTCGTGGTCAATACTCAATTATAGTCTTACAGAATACAATTATAAGTAATTCGTTATTGTTAATTGTTATTACTCGTTAGTTGTCAGTTGTTTCATCATAGTTCAAATAGATAATAATTGGTTAATAATTATTCATACATCCTACTGTTCTACAATCTGTCAATCTACATGTTCACTGATAGGTATTACATATTTTTTGACGAATTTAAAACGTAGGTTAGGCTAGACCTACCCAACAAATTAAATATTTAATACATTTTTTATTTCAGTAATTAAGTGGACTTGAATTAATAAGTAGTAGTACAATTTATGGCAATTTACAAAGGAGTTTTGCACAGACTTCAAATTCATATAAGTACAGACTAATAAGTACATAGTGGATGAATTCCAAACTTAATTAGCCTATATTTTTCTAATATTTTGGTTTAAGAAAATTATTCTGTAATCTGAATTTTTATACAATGGTAAGTTATTACAAATTGTATTTGATAAATTGAATGTTATAAACTATGCTTAAATTGGCATAATAAAATAAATTATCTGCATGTTTTAATAATAATCAATTGATTACCTATAAACTAATATTTGTTAATGTATTTAGGGTTCATTAAGATCCCTGGTTTACATTTCGTCTGGAGGATTTATTTTATGGGCAGGAACAAATGTTATTACCCTAAATGAAAAATTTTATAAGAAATATGTTATTCCTGCATTCTTTACTTGTGATCCAGAAAGTGCTCATAACCTTTTAATATTTACGGGAAAATATGGTCTCATACCAAAATCATTTTATACAGATCCACCGATATTGGTTAGTTTAACTTTTTATCATTTATTTATTATTCTTATTATTCAAAAAAGTAGTTTCTTTGATTTTAAATATTAGTATTTTTTATAATCAATGGTAGTGTATTATGTTAAATTATTTTTTTAGAAAACCAAGTTGTGGGATTTGAATTTTACCAACCCAATAGGCCTTGCAGCTGGTTTGGATAAACAAGGTGAAATAACAAAAGCATTAAAAGATGTAGGGTTTGGTTTTGTTGAAGTTGGTTCAATAACACCCCTACCTCAACCAGGCAATGAAAAACCAAGAGTGTTTAGACTTTTAGATAGTCAAGCTATTATTAATAGGTAAAAATTGCATTCGTTCTTAGTTATGAATATTAATTTGATGTTATATGTTAGATATGGATTCAATAGCGATGGTCATAATGTTGTATTTGAAAGGCTTAAAAAACTTAAGCACCACCAAAACTTTGATGGTATAGTTGGTGTTAATTTGGGAAAAAATAAAGAGTCTGAAAGTGCAGTTGATGACTATGTGAAAGGTATTGAAAAGTTTGCTTCAGTTGCTGATTACTTTGTTATAAATATATCCAGGTAAAATAGCTAATTTTACATTCAACCTCAACTCATATTCTAAAAAAATGAAATAATTGAAATAAATTTCAAAAAAATTGTTTAGTCCTAATACTCCGGGTCTAAGAAATTTGCAAAAGAAAAAAGATCTCATGAGTCTACTTTCAAACGTCATAGAAGCCAGGAATCAAGTGTGTCAAGAACGCAAAATTCCATTATTATTAAAAATAGCTCCTGATCTAACTGATCAAGATAAAAAAGACATTGCTGATGTAATTAATGATAAAAAGGTAAAATTATTTTTTAATTGAATAATGATTAAGTTAAAAATGTCCTAAAAAAGGGTTTTTTGGTTTTAGTGTAAAGTTGATGGATTAATAATCTCAAATACAACTATTAAACGAAGTGGTGTTTATGATAATCCCAATGCGCTAGAACCTGGTGGTCTCAGTGGGAAACCTTTGCAAGAAGAATCTACAAAACTCATTTTGGAATTTTATAAATTGACAAATGGTGAATTATATTCATAGTATAATATCTTAGTAGAATTAATTTATTTTACTTTATTTTATTATTTAGGTAAAGTCCCAATTATTGGAGTTGGTGGAGTATTTAATGGTCAAGATGCATATGCCAAAATCAAAGCAGGGGCCTCACTTATACAAATTTATACATCTTTCATTTACAATGGCCCATCAGTTATAGTTAATATAAAAAAGGAATTAGAGTGTCTTCTTAGGTAATAAATATTAAAATAAACTTATATTTTTTATTAGCTTTCAGTACACAACTATTATACCTCAACAATCATAAGTATAGAAACTAGAAAATTATATGGAATAAAACTATTAAAAAATATGTTATATAATAAGTCCAGCCTCTAAAATAAGGGAGATTATCATTTTTATAGCAGATTCAGAATTTGTATTAAAGGTGGAGTGGGATTTTAAAAAAATGTTTCCAATTTAAATTAAAGTTTGCAACTAACATATTAATACCTAATTCAATTTTAAATTTTTATTTAACAATATTATATACCAGTTTCCAAACTTTGAACACAGATTCAATTAATTTATAAAACAATGTGATGTACAATTTATTCTTGGTAACTCAAGTATTAAATATTATTCTAAATTAAAATAAACAAATATCAAATTTGTAAAAGAGAAAGCATTGATAACATACATTTTTTATAAAATTTTGTAGTTTAGCTTTAAAATGAATGTGTTGGTAAAAAAATTTTTTGTTTATCTTGTACAATTGACTGATTAAAAACCAAATATTCCCTTAAAATAAATTTATTTACCTTTTTAATTTGTTTTAATGTTATCATAGCACTTTTTATTTCAGTGTTATAATCATACTTAGGGTTTTAATTTAATTTTTTGTATTTTCTGATTTTAGGGAAGATAAATACAACTCAATATCTGATGCAATCGGTGCAGACGCCAGACTGTAAAGTACAATAACTATATTTATTTCCAAATTTGGAAATTCAGAATGTAATTTTTTTATCCAGATACATATTTTATTATTATATTATATATCTTAAAAACATTATATACAAACATTTTATAAAAATAACAATGTATGATTTTTAATTTATGTTTTTTTTCATTAACAGAGTCAGGACCTAGGGTTCGGCCAAGTAGCTCATATTAAATTCCAATCCCTGTTCTTTGAATTGCTTACAGCATTTGTTAAAAATGTGTTTGATAATATTAGAGAGGATTAAGGAACACTTTTAAAGGGCTGTTTTTTGACGTCAGAAATCAAGATGAAATCCGAGATGGAAATTTCCCAGCACTCAAATGTTTCTAACTGAATTATAGGTGGTAAATTGAGTGTATTTGATGTGAATTAAAATGTAAGATTGAACCTGAAAAAGTGGAATTTGTCCCAACTGAATAGAGAGAATTTTGCTGTATTAATACGGGTAATATATTTCAAATAAAAACAATAGTATTGTTTTGTATTACATGTTTTTTGAATGCAGAATTAATTTACCAGCTAACTCCAAAAGTACTGTATTCTATGAAAAATTTGCAAATGAAAGCGTACAAATGGACGTATTCCACTTCCATACGCAAGTTGATAGGGTTTCAATTTTATGCTATTGTGATTGAAACACTTAACAACAAACATGCTGTAAAAATATTAAATGGAATCTGTGTCTAAAATCTAAATGAAACGACTGTCAATGATCACATATCTTAACCGTGAGTAATGTTTAATGTTCTCACAGTCTATTTCACATTATTACATCGGTTTCAATTATCTGTTATTCACACAAGAATTCTATACTATAATAAAACATCTGTGGGCCTGAACTAAATATAGTATTTAGTTCAGTGACCTGTGATGGTCATTCATTGGGATGTTAATTCTTTAACCCATGTCCTTGAGAACACTTGGTCTAGTCACAGTATAAAGAATACCTAATTGCATCAGGAATCATATTATTCTTTAAATTGTGGTCTAGCGTTTGGGCCCCCGTTATGTATCAAGTAGATGATATTACTAAGGCTACACACACAATTAAAACCGATTTAACTTGATTTGAAAGAGGTAACTCCCCAAGTTCAATGCATGTAAACAGCTGTTAATTCAGTTTAACATCAATTCGGTTTAGTTATAACACATTTGAAATTCTTCGCATTGAAAATAACCACGGGAGTGCTGAATACATGTAAACTAATCGCACTTCAACAACCGAATGAGATTTATCGATTAATTCGAATTAGAGTAAATCGGCTAAAGGTTGAACTTTGCATGTAAATGTTGCAACGTAAACTTAAACTGGTTTGTTGGAAGTGTGTTATACTAATACGGTTTTTGACGTGCTTGTACACTCGCGTCTCGCACCCTAGTCCCTAATTCAAAATAACTCAATACGAATCGAGTTAATTCGAACTAAAATATGCATACAAAGATAAACAAGGTATATTATGTCGGTGACATGGCTGGGCAGTGGGCGGACGAAGGCAGAGCAGTTCGCGCCTTCTCGTTATCGACAGTCGACACCCAACGAAGTTGAGGCGAACAACCAGAGGGCGCTGTTCGCTGTTCTGTGATTTTTTTATTTTATTTTTTATTCTGTGATTTTATTAGCTTATTATTATCGTGTTGTGATGACAACAATCATTGATAATTATTATAATAAATGCTGCTTACTGGGGTTATATATAAACGCTTCAACTTTGAACAGTAGTGACTTAGTGTACTTGTGCAGCTATAAGTGTGTACTACTAAAAGCCATACCGGACACCGGTAAATAAGCTTGGTTTTTCATTTATCAATAGTATAGGACACTGGTTGTAAATTTTATATATATTTTTTTTTTTTTCACAGTTCACTGTACTTTGTACTTAGTTCATTCTTCGTATTTAATAATAATATTCTATACCAGAGGTTCCCAAACTGTGGGTCGCGACCCAAAAGTGGGTCGCACTATTTTTTAAATTAATACAAAAATATAATCATCTATTACTTTTCGTTGATGTTCAAAGTTCAAATTCAGTTTTATCGTCAATCCTTATCTGTGAGTATGACAATTACGAGTTTACCAGCGGCCGTGTCAAATACTATATATTATACTTATTATACATTTTTTTCGTAATTACATAAAATGTAACAAAATAGTTTAATTTTCTGTTGTATGGTAAAAAAAAAAAAAGGTCATTCATTGATATTGTGGGTCGCTATATTTTAAAAAAAATTCAAAATGGGTCGCACAATAAGAAGTTTGGGAACCTCTGTTCTATACGTGTATTCATAAAAATACAATTAACACCTATATAGTAAAATGTATTGTACTGTAAACTATTTTAAATGTTAAATTATCATCGTGAATCTTATTGTTTTTAAATACAATTTATGAATTATTTTACAAATTTTGTTCCAATTAAACCAGTATTAAATGTTATGCCACATACCTACCTATTTAATTTGTTATTTTAATTTTTTAGTGCCCAGTAGAGAAAATTTGTTGTAGAAGTAATTGAAAACTCCATGAATACGTTAAAATTCAATAATTTAATCAACCTATTGAAAACGTAAGTAATGTAAAACAAATTGTTGTTACTTTGTTATATTTACAGAATATTACATTTATAAAATAGTTCAAAGATAAATTTTTGAACTAGTTGTAATGGCATGCATGTCCAGGCCCTAAATCTCTTCCCTTTGTGTATACCTCTGAACTGCATACTGTATTATGACATTAGTTTAATTTAAATATTTTTAAACCTTACACTTTTTCTACCCACAAATGAATTGGTACTGAATCTATAGAGGTGTTGTGTTATACTTTTTGATATTACTAAAATTATCCTAAGTACATTAAATCAACGATCAAACCATATAATTAATTTAAAACAAATATCTGTCAAAATTCACTCATTATATGAAAATATACTTAATGGATTACATTTTTTAATTACAAGAATTGTGCAAAATAATATGAATTCTTCTCATAGAATGATCGGTTTTATCCTTAGATTATAATTTGAGTTTACACAAATTACAACATAGGTCTTCATTACTGTTACAACTCTCGAAAATCATTTTTTTTTAAATATTAATTTTGCCTAAAATATATTGACGGTGACTAACATGATTAATCATAAAAGCCTATAAGATGTGTCATTGTGTTTTCCCATTGATTAATATTATTTATAACTTACATTTCATAAGTGATACTGATTAAAATATAAATTACCTACCATATCAATTCATAATTGTGTATTATTTATGGTGTATGCTTTATTTCAGGATAAGTATTTTAAATTTAAGAAGACAAATGAGCGTTGAAATAAATCCTGAATTGAATAATGAGCACAATATTGTATGGTTTGACGGCGAGGTATGTAATTATTATTAACTCTACTGAAATTAATTTAATATTAACATAAACATAGTGACTTTTTGAGCATGCTCGACCAGTTTTTTGTTTAAATTATGTATACATTCAAATTATGATTTTTTGAATTTGTATGTGTAATTAGTAACAAGCACAGCATTTAAGGAGTATTATGTTGCAATACTAATATTTTTATTTCAAATAAGAACATACATAATCTTATAATGCAAATATGTTAAATTTAAACCCACCTACTAAAATAATTTACTCAGGTAAATACATTTTTAACTAAATTAGTAAATTGTATTTATCGATTTTTAGATGACTGGATTAGATTACAATCACCATACCTTGATCGAAGCAGCTATAATTATAACCGATAAAAATTTAAAAGTTTTAGCTGAGAGTCCAAATATTGTTATACATCAATCAGACAAAGTGTTAGAAAATATGGAAGATTGGTCCAAAAAGCATCATAAAATGGTAAATATTTTGACACAATTTTGATTTTTTTGTTCTTAGTAAAGTGAGTTTTTCAGTTATCCACACTAGGACCTGAATTTGGCCCAGTTTTTTTTATCCTTTTATTGTATAAGCTAAGTATAGTTATTAAACATTTCTCTGGAAGAGCTTATTTATATCTTGATAAGTGCCAAGATCCAAGGGTATATTTTATGACCTTTTATTATCTTTAATTATTGATCCTTTCATTCTGTTTATTGGTTGTTTTTATGCATATTTGTTATATGAACTTAATTTGCAAGACTATAGCATGTACTAATTTTCTAAACCATTCTCATGCACGCTGGCTTTGTTCCAAATGCCGAAGCCGGTGGTTGACTGGAGCATCTGACCGCCCGGTACCTTTCTTATTCTGAATAAAGTGCCTTTAGATGGTCATGGGGGGAGGGGGGGTGAACGGGTGTTGCATATTTTAATATCTATATTGCAAAATTAATTTGTCATTTATCTAATACAAACAAGGGAAAATAGAAGTACCACTATTTAGAAGAACAAGTTCCCCAAGTTTTCTGGTGCTTAGATTTAAAAATTGTTCACATAAAACACAACTATTATTAATTTAGACAAATCTTTTATTTTGTGTGTATTTTTATTTCAGAGTGGCTTGACTGAAAATGTTAGAAAGAGCAATATATCAATAGAACAAGCTGATCAAATGTTATATGAGTTTATTAAACCGTTTGCTCCTAAAGGTGATTTTAAAAATATACAAAGTGATAAGTATTATTCTTGATCATTCAAATTCAACCAGGTTGATGCCAGAGTAATCATTCAATTATAATATTAATTATTATTTCAGGCGTTTGTCCGTTAGCTGGTAATTCCATTTACTTGGATAGAACTTTTATTAGAAAATATATGCCAAAACTTGAAAGTCAATTAAGTTATAGATTAATAGATGTGTCTACTCTAAAAGAGTTGTTTAAGTACGTATTAAACCTAATTATAATATTCTATTTTAATTGCTAAGCGTTTAATGCCCAAAGACCTAGAAGAATAACGTGACGACCAAACTCAGCTTCTATGAAGGGCTCAGAATGAGTTGCGTGATTAAACAGCCACAGGCTGCTCTGTGGTCACATTGGTTGCTACTTTAGTCCTTGTAATATAGGAATTATTCATACTTTTTGGAATTTATATTACATGCATTATTTTGAACCATGACCCATTATACAGGTTGTAAAATTACATATTAATACATGTGATATTATGTATGTATTTCATAAATTCAACATTCTTAAGAAACAAGTTTGAGTGTAACAATCGTTTAATAACATACAGATATATAACCATGTAGGTGTAAAAGATGTGTTAAACAAGTTAGAAAATTTTGCGGCCGTTGCGTAGCCTGTGGCTGTTTAATTGTGTGACTTATTACGGGACACTAATTCAAGTAAGTTTCTGTATGATTTTGGTCTACTTATTCTAATCTTAATGGTTTTATGTTTTGGAGTTTGATAACTTGAAATCAAACTTCTGAAACATTACATTTTTTTATCCTCAGATTTTTATATTATAATAAAAGTTCAAAGGTGAGTTAATTCATCTGAAAATCAGGTTATCAAGAACCTACAACTAATAAGTACTATTGTATCTTGAATTAACAGTTTAATTTATTTCGAATCCCACATAACAAAAATGTTAAAGTAATAGTAAAAAATCTAATTAACGTGTTCAATTTTTAATAAATTTATGAATTTTAGACGTTGGAAACCCGAATTAGCAAATGAAGTTCCGATCAAAGCATGTAAGCATAGAGCTCTTGATGACATTAGAGAAAGTGTTCAAGAACTCCAATTTTACAAAAGCTGCTTAAAGTTATAACTAATAATGGAGACAAATGTAGTAAATCCAGTTAACAAAACCATAACATACCAATACTCAACAAAATAAGCGTCACATTAAATTTAAAAAAAAATAATGCTATAAAGTATAAATGCATTGAAATTCCAACCCCTCGTTGTAATTTATTATTTAAAATCTATAAATAAGATTGAATAAAGATTTTTAAAGTTTTTCCTGATCTTCACTAAATTATAATGCCATTTCTCATTGTTCTCCTGCAATATAAATGTATAGAAATATGTACATGATAGAGTGCATAATTTGTATTGATACTTTTTGGTTATAGATATTAGATATACATATTGACCTGGATGCATCACTTGCTCTGACAATTTAAATCGAAAATGTTCCTCAATTATGATGTTAACCCACCTTCAGCTGATCTCAGAGTAACCTAACCTTACCTCGAGAACTACCCAAGGTGGTTTCACATAAAATTAAGGCTATGGATATTTTTGATTTAAATTATCAAAGTAAGAGAACCCTCCAGATCTATAGATACTATGATTAGTAGTTTCGATAACAGAAAAATATATATAAAAAATGATAACGAGGACTGCTCACCGGGTGAATAAGACACATATAAGTTATATAACTATTCAGTACATTGAATATAATTATTTGTAGGAGATAATTAGTTATAAACAGGGACTACTTTATATTTTATCTTTGTTTATTCCCTGAAAGATGATGTAATGAAAATTATTGTTCAGTTATGTTTGTGAATGTTATGTACTCGTATACTTTATACATAGTTATACTATTATAATACTATATTACGATTAAAGTACGGATTTTTTTCTTTCTTTTCAAATTTTGGAATAATCTACTTTAAATCTCCATAAAATATATTCAATAATATTCTGATGTTTACAATAAAATAACCATAGTACTCTACTGCTACTCTTGTACAACGAAAATCTATGAATCATAAGTATATTTATGTTAATAAGTAACCGCGAAAACAACAATCTTACAAAAATTTGATTAGAAACAAAAAACTTGTTTATGTTAAAAAAACTTTTAACAGTCACAGTATTGTATCATTAAAAAATAAATAAGAAACCCAATGATTTAACATAATTATTTTTGTAATCCTTTAAAAAATATGTTACACATTACATACATAACAATAATATAATGTAACTATTATATTACTTACACAACTTGTTATTCTATCTGACAAATAAATAATGAGAATACTACAATATTACAACACAAGATGTACAATACCATTGATTTTAATAAACATGTTTTATTTGAAATGAATCATTTTGTATAATAGAATAAGAAACTGAACAATTATTTGTTTTTATCATTTAAGTACTATAAGCTAAAGCCAATACCGTTAAAAGTATGCTACCAGCAATCACACCGTATCCAGTTGAATAAACTTGTTTGATGGTCAAACATTTACCAGCATCCCACACCTAACAAAAAAACAAATAGTATTAATTTTTCAAAACTAAAATAAGTATGAAGTTCATTAAAATTTACCAAGTGTCTAACACCATTGCAAAAATGATAGAAAAACGGGAAAGCGACTAATCCTTTAGCTGACACAATAGCGGCCGACGGTAGTTCCAACCCATGTACAAATTGTACAAATGACGGCAAATCCGTGATAAGGAATACTGTAATAAAATATAATAAATACAAAATTATTGAGTGAAAAATTATTAGCTCACAGATAATGTGCTACCGAATTTATAACAAAAATTAAATTATAAATATTAATGGATATCTGTAGTTTATACACAATCTGTACAGATTGTATATTGATATAAATAATTATGCAAGAAATCGTACTTGTCCAATGAGACTCTAACATAGGTATCTAATTGACGGTTATAGATTTAATTTCAACCGCCATGAGTGGACAACAATGTGAGTTGTGGTCCCTAGCTGGACAAAGCATAGGAACGGTACTAACATGGGAACACTTTTGAATTACTTTGTAATATAAAATTAGTTTTTGTTTTTGAGTTATTAAATATACTTACCAATTTAAGATTAAAAAAAAACTGAACTTACATGCTCCAAACCCAGCTGTAACGCCACTCAACGCCACTCCAGTTGCACGATGTGTAATAGATAATATGGTTGTTAGTTGAGGCTGATAAATAGTCAAGTGAGGAGACATAGGTCTATTGAGGCGGGCATTTTTATTATCATGGGTCTCTTCTAATATTGCCTCGACTTCTTGAACAGTTTTTACTTTCATGGAAATCATACGGTGTCTAAAGAACAAATTTCACATATTTTTATATCATACTAAAGTTTAGTTTTTCTATTATGAGCCGCAACACAGCATAAAGACTAAAATTTTTTTTAGTACACTATCTACCAAATATTTAAAAAAAACTTCCTAGTCTAGAATTCTAGATGTTTCAGTAGGTAGATATGATAGGAATCACAAAAAAAATATAATTCTCAATGAAGTGTTACACGTACATTCTAATTCTACAATTTATAAAATCAAAATGTATTTTAGATTTTTAACTTCATTTTTGGAGATGAAATCATAAATATATTCTTCAAAGGGTAAACCCGTAGGTGTAGTAACAACCATGTGGTTGTGTAGTCGTGTGACTACGTAAAATATTATTTAAGTGTATAATAGAATGGTGAAAAATATGTTGTACAAATATAATATAGCCTTTATTGAACATCTGAACTATAAATATTATTTTTATACTAATAATTATTCCCTGGACAATAACAATAAGTCTACAATAGCCTTAACTCAAAAGCTTCGTTTGAAGTGTTAAAACAATTTTAATAAAATATAATAAGTACTAACATAATATTTAAAAAAATTATTATAATCATACTTTTTTTACTTACATTGTCGGAGTTTGGAATGACATTGTTTGTCTAGCTGTGCATAGTCTGTGTACACTGAAATATTTTATAATATTTTTTAACAATTAATAAATACAATTTTTAAATTTTATTTTTTTAACTAATATATTATATAATATTTACTTATTTATTTGAACTAAAGGAGTTAAGAACACAATTACTTGTACAATTGACAGTGTTTTATATTGGTATTTTAATAAATAAGTATTACCTACAGTTTTTTAAAAACAATAATATTCTAAGAGAAAAATATACATTTTAAGTTGTAGCACTAATTCAATATAAAATGATAGTTAAAAAATTATTAAAATTGTATTATTATGCTAAATATTTATTTAAGAATAAACACTATCTGAAATGGATAGTCTTGATCATTTATTGACTGTCTAAATATTTGAGAGTGTTGCCAGGCTGTATCCCCAGATCCTCCAGATAAACTTGCATTTAATGTTACAAAATCAGCACCATTCATTTGATCAAAAACGACTTCTTTAATATTTTCCACAGTAGGCAGATTCACAGTAAGATTATTTCCAATTAACTTCCATTCAACTTGACCTGTGTTAAACAGCGCTGTAGTATAAACTAATTTAACATCTTGTACAACAAGACCACTTGAAGAAAAGTCAAATCGCCATTCTATTGTTGATTTCTCACTGTATTCTTCTCTACATAAATAAACATTTTTCCAGTCTAATTCTTCTTTGCGAAATAATGAATTATAACTATACACACCACTTTTCCATCCTACGTGAATGCTATTGCCATGGATATATTTATCAATAGCTGTAGAATATTTTAGTTCAAATCTTTTATTGGCTATTTCAGTCTCAGACGGAGTCCAAACAAATTTCTCAATTTTAGTTTCTCCTCGAGCTAATCTCCACGCAAGAGATCCAGACGTTCTGCCACCATAATTTTCAATTTCAGGTTTACAGTGTATAATGTATAAACTAAGATACATTTCAAAACACTCTTTCAAACGTCTTTCTGCAATATATTTACGCCTTGACAATGATAAATTATTTTGTCTATGATGGGACAAACTCAAAATTGTATTCAACAACTCTTTTTCTGAACAAAGTTTTCTTCTTTTTAAAACGCTGAAACAATCTCCTACATACCGCCAAGTAACATCTTGCACTTCTTCGTTAGAGTAGGCGATAATATATGACAATTTTTTTCCCCAACCTTTTTCGTATAGTAATGGCTTGTCTAAAGCTGTTTCACACGGATCACAATGAATCCATCTTTGTTGACTAACTGACCAAACTTCAGTCCATACATGGTCAGTTTTATCAACTACCAATCTTGCTTCCCAACCAAGCGCTCTACAGAATAAAGTAAAACAGTTAGCCCATTCACCGCATCTACCCAGACGAGTAGTTAAAAGTTGTTCACAAATACCATATCTCTTAAAATCAGTGATTGAACAACAGTTCTCGCACTCATACATTTCTGAATATTTAACATTTTCATCTTTATTATTGTGATTTAATCCTTTAAATTTTGTAGTACTAGAACAGAACTGGCAAATTGGTGTATCAAACCATTTAAAAAATGACTCTTTAAACCATTTCATGAGTTTCAACATCATTTTTTCATGGTATAATGATTCATTTTTGTTGACATTTGAAAATAACTCAATATATTCTGGTGATAAATTGTGTAATGCTTTACTTTGCAATATTTTATCTTCAAACTTAAGTACAGTCAATGATGTTGAACTCATTTCTTTTAAGAAACTATTTTCATTTAAACTTGATTTTTGATGCTCTGCAATTATGTTTATAAGTTGTTGTTTGTAGTTATTTAATGTACTCAGACTTATAGATTCTGGTAACACTAAAGAATTTCTATCATCTATAAACCCGATTTCAAAAAGAAATTCCATAGCTCCAGCAAAAGGCAAAAGACTATTTTGAATTACATCACCGTCCAAGTAGAGTCTTCTGAAATTTGGTTGATCCGGATGATTTATTATGTCATTGAGGAGTTGTAACAAAACATTTACAACACGGAAACAAATGTCCACACTATGGCTTTTTAAGTCATTTAAACTGTGCAGCATTTTGCAATATTAATAGTTATAAACAAATTAAACTAAATTAATGATTACACATAAACTAATAATAATATATTACCTTCTTAAATATAGAGCCATTATGTGAGTAAAAATTTACAATATATTTGGTGAATTGAGCACTTGAATAAATAAGTTTTACTTGGAAAAGTGAATTAGTGAAAACTGATATATTCAATGATACGGAGGCGAATTTTACTGAATAATACCATAGAAAAATAATACTGAATCGAAATCTTTAATCATAAATGATTTTATTGCAACATATCTTTCGAAGATGTAGGACAAAAATCAGCAGGTTAGAATGTTTTAGTGGTGGACTCGACATCAGCTGATTATCGTTATCATTTATTTTCAGTAAAGTTATCACACAGATTTATAAAAATGTATTCTACAATTCTATATAATATATATACAGAGTGATCCAACAATTATGCTCACCCCCTTTTTTTCTTTAATAATGACATTTTTCAAAATCTGATTTTTGGAATCTCTAAAAACACTCAAAGACAATATTTTCATATTCTTGAGATTTTTTGTACCACTTAAGGAGTGTCCTGTGGCGATACAAACTTTTGTTTTTCAAATGAGAACCCCACTTTTTTTCTTTAAATTATTTAGCGGATAATTTTTTTGAAAATTTTGATATATCGAAATCAAAATTCGAACGAGTGGTTTTCTAGTTATTGGACAATTTGTACTAAGGATAATAGTCCATAATAGCCTATTATGGACGTTTTCTAAAAAATCTAACCAAATGAAGTGTCGCGTCTTGGAAGATCAATCATCGCGACATCGCCGCATCTTCGAACAGCACTAAGTTGCTATCATTGTATTTCATTACATTGTTTAGTAACTTAACAAGTATGTGTCACGACCGCGAATATTTTTGGTCACCAATACCATCGACGAGATGTGAATATATCAATTTACTTATACAGTTCTACACATGGAATAAGAAAAATAACTTAATAAATCAAGAAGGAATGAAGGATTTTACTTACTATTTACCTAAGTGTTTGACTAAATAAATATAAAATGATGTATTATTTTATATTATGTGTTTAGAGTTTTAGACTATAGACAACAACGTATACTGTATAACTTAGATCATATACTCAATACTCTGATCTAAGCTGTATAAGCATATCCTTCTTCCCTATTATAAACTATATTATCTTTAGCACAAAATGTGTAATCACTAGAAAAGTACTCGTTCGAATTTTGATTTCAATACATCAAAATTCTCAAAAAAATTATCCGCTAAAGCTAAATAATTTAAAGAAAAAAAGTGGGGTTCTCATTTGAAAAACAAAAGTTTGTATCGCCACAGGACACTCCTTAAGTGGTACAAAAAATCTCAAGAATATGAAAATATTGTCTTTGAGTGTTTTTAGAGATTCCAAAAATCAGATTTTGAAAAACGTCATTAAAGAAAAAAAGGGGGTGAGCATAATTGTTGGATCACCCTGTATATTTTTTTAAATTTTAATCCATGGTGGCGGTTATAGCCGTAGACTTCTCACAACTTTACTAGACAAGCAATGACTGTATGGAAAGCGTAATAACATAGACGGCGCTCTTTGATTACTCGACTACTCGTAGGTACTAACTTCTAACGGTTGTGCGTTTTTTCCTTTTAGCTCATTTAATTTCTTTTAACAATATTTCTTATTTTTCTCTGATCATTTTATACATTTTAAACTTAGTACTTACTAATTTCGCATTTCCAAAAAAAATGGAATGTGCCAGACTCACACATACTAAAATTAATATTATAGTATTTTTCATGTTTATATATTTTTTTTTATATCCTCGGTATAATTATCTTCAATCTAAAAAAAATAAGTTACAATTATTTTCAGGTTACAAAATACTGGAAAAACATTATAATATTATATACTTACATTAATTTACATTATTTAATGATGATTCTTATTATTATACAATATATTGATTATGATATTGTGAGTGTGTGTGTGTGTGTGCGCCGTCGAAAATTATTATTTATATATAATGTAACCAAGACCGTAGCCAGACAAATATTTAGGGAGGTTTTGAGTATAAATATGTTGTATTATAAGATAAAATATGAAAATCAAGGCCGTAGACAGGAAAATATTTAAGGGGAGGGGGGGTTTTATTGTATAATAAAATATTAAAATATAAAAATATAATTAAAATTAAATTAATCTTTATTTAAAAAATAATTAAATCTTATTTCAAAAAAAAATCGGGGGGGGGGGGGGTTGAACCCCTGAAACCATCTCCTGACTACGGCCTTGAACGTAACAATATTATTTTTCTATTATTTCCAAAAAAACTGTAAACAGTAATCGGGGTTTTATTCATCTTATGACTTATACCATCGTACGTCCGTATTTCGCGGCCATTTGATAGAGATATTTTATCGGTTTATGGTCGAGTGTAAATATACAAAAATTACTATACAATTTGTGGTTAGTTACAAATTCTTATCCTGTAGTTACAAATTATTACGAAATGGTTACTAATTTTTATGTATGGTTTGATCCCAAAATTTTGATTTTGGGGTGCCAGGCTGACGAACCTGAATAAAGGTCCATATTGTTGTGCTCAGTTTCCAATTTTGTTGATTGTCTAACCATTGATTTTTTACTTTGTGTACTTTTCTTCGCTAACTATTTTTGATGATTATAATTATTAACACTTTTCTTAAGTTTGGTTTCACGTCTGTCTGTGATCAAATCTTGCGCGCTCGATTTGAGGCACTTTTTGAAGATGAAAAATTCTGAAAATTGGTATAGACCTTGGTCTTGGATGACAATACAATAATCCGTTGTCATTTTGGGACATGGACCAAAAAAAAAAAAAAAACGGGCAAGACATTCTGTAACGTTGACGCTTTGGATGAAATCGACAGAATGAGACAACATCGTCCCAATATATCAGAAGCAATTGTAAATGACGGACAATAAATTATAAGTACTGTCAAATAACAAAATATATAATACACATAATGGTCTCATAATGAAATTGTTAATATAAAAAAATTTCAATTGGTTGTGGCAAACAAAATAAATGTCTTGTCATTTCACGACCACATAAACTTATTTATTTATAAATAAATCATAATCACCAGTAGTTTGATTCTTTTTGTTTCACAAACATATTTCTTAAACGTTTAATAAAAATATTTACTTTCAACTAAAAAGTAGAAAATAAAAAATAAAAAAAAAAATTTTAAAAACACACTTTTCCATAAAAACATTTAAAAAAAAATTTTAAAAATTGCACTAAAAAGACAAAAATAATTCTCTGTACTTAAAAATAATGAAAAATTTATTGATGAAAAATTTAAAAGTGTGTGGTGCATCATACAAAACATTAAAAGCCGAGCTAAGTCTCACATACACTTCTTTGTTCAATCCTGTTTATAAGATAGTGACTGGCAGTATATGTCAAGTATAAGAGCAAAATAATGAAAAATTTACTGATGAAAAATTTAAAAGCCAAGGAAAGTCTCACATACACTTCTTTGTTCAATCATGTTTATAAGATAGTGACTGGGAATATATGTCAAGTGTATGAGCACCACACACTTTAAAATTTTTCATCAATAAATTTTTCATTATTTTTAAGTACAGAGAATTATTTTTGTCTTTTTAGTGCAATTTTTAAAATTTTTTTTTAAATGTTTTTATGGAAAAGTGTGTTTTTAAAATTTTTTTTTTTATTTTTTTTATTTTACACTAATTACAGCGTTAAAAAAAATATTTGTTCAATAATTTGCATGTGTTTGAGAGGTAATATTTTAGTCTGGGGATTTTTATTCCGATTACCAACAGAAATATTACTTCAAGTGATTGAGTCTCTGACATAACTTCTATACCTATTAATGACAGGTTTTTTGGGGTATCTTCGTTCTTAGCAATACTTGTTTTATTAATTTGAATAAACTGAACATGTTGATATTTATGTACAATAAAATCCAACGTATCAGTTATACGTGCCCAAAAATAAAATAACGTCTATAACAGTCTATATTCTGTAGTATATATCTACGTTGAAATGAAGCCCTTGGATACAATCTAATTTATAAATAAGTGCGTACCAACTAATAATATAGATTCTTGAATAAAGTAAACAAAAAAAGTTTTAAAAAAACATTGTAGCTGATTTTATGATGGTGTCCATGCGGTCAGTGAAAGTCAACCAAGGTTCCGTAGGCTGGATTTTAGGTGTCGTGCGAAACACGGTGATTCATGAATCTTGTTGAAGGTTAATAATCTTTTTCAATAAGGAATACCTAGTGATAGTAGTTAGTCGTGCTTTATGCATATATACATACATAATATAATAATACACGAAATAATAATCGGATACGTAAAAATGAGTTATTACTTATTATATTAAATTAAAAAGCCCCACTTATAACTGCAAGGTAATTTATTGCATTATTATTAAGGTCTCGTTAAGATAGCAGCCCCCCCCCCCCATCCACCCGTCCAACCTTTTGAGAGACTGCAACTCCAGGATTCGATCCATGGCAGCAGTCACTATCGAAAGCTGTACACTATTTGTGGTCAACCCCGACTTTCTACTTTCGACTAATGAGTAATTATAATAGAAATTGTTATTGTTGATCTACATAGATGACGAAAATATCAAGATAAATGACAGTAGATGACTGAAGTTGTCATCTTAGATGGATAAATAATATATAACATTTAGATTTATATCCAGATACTATGATAATTGATAATTAATACTTTTGTCAAGATAAGTCTCAACACAAATTATAGTGACTAACGATAGACTTGAACATGTGTACAAATAAATACATAAAATGTACTAATGTTCTTAATCCGTCAGCCGAGAATTTGACACTCTTATATCCAGCATAATATCTATAATAAATTATTTATAGTATTTGATACCCAATGATGATATTATTTTACTTATCAATTGTAATAATATATAATAATATATAAAAAATAACTTACCAATATAAAAAGTAATTTCACACATATTGACATTCAATTTATTTTTTAACGTGATGTCAATGTAAAACATCACGCATTAATGACATCAAATTAAAAATTTTTACGCAACAACAAAACCGGTGAAAAATTAGTAAACAAATTTTCACATAATATGATAATACACCGTGATTTATTTTTAAAAATAGGTGGGTATAAATGTATAAACTCAAACAATATTATTGTTGATGTTGAATATAATATGCATTTATTGATAAGCTGTTAAAATGTTACAAATATTAAAGAAAACATCCATACAAGTAAAT